TCGGCGCTCCTTCCTTTGATAATTTCTAGCTTCGGCTTACACGCAATCTTCTGGCGTTGCTCCGGCCCTTTCTAAACAAACTCAAATCCTAGTGCGTTCGCTTCTACTTGAAGTCATCCGTCCCCGCTAGGATTACTATGTTTTGACACAAACACTGTGCAACAAGTCGTTCAGCAGGCCGCCCATACCCTAACAGTAAGGGCCACATCAGCTCAATTTCCGCTGCTCATCCCAGACCCACCCACAAGAGTCGAGCTCTGCGCTCACTCTACGATCCCCTTCATGTGACACTAGCCTTTATCCAAAGATAATGTTGCTTTGAATGCCGATCAAACTGGTGTGGGTATTACTCTGAGTCCCTTCTCCCGGACCTAATCTGCTTTAGTTGAGTGAATTACAAGCACTATCCGAATATACACCTTGGCTGGCTCGTTCTAAGCCTTTAATTCGCACATGGACATTGGGCACCTGTTTCATATGACTTCTGTCATCAACTGAAGGAGGCTTGTCTCACACAAACTATTGTTACTGTAGGACTGACTGGTAATCTGAACGCACAGTTTGTAAAATTGTCCGCAGACGCGCTGCATCTGGGCACCTGGCACTGCGTAAGTTCCTCTAATACTGTGTGTAGTCATTACAAATGTGTGGAGATGCTCTCTTATTTCTCGCGAGCACTATCTTTAGACGTAGCACCCGTCTCACGATTACATAGTGCTTGGTAACTTCCAACCAGTCATGGGCTCAAATCGGTCACATCGTATTCGGTTATTTTTGGTGGTTGCGTCCTAAGCTGTCTCCCAATTTTCAGCTCTTGTGCTGATTCCGACCATGCACTTATATGTGCTGATCTCCGAGTGGGTTGCAGTAGACGACCACAATGATGCTGTTAACATCAGACACCTACCATTTGTCGAAGCCGTGTATCCTAAATCCGTACCAAACTATTAATAATAAGCGCCCACTAAACACATTCAAAAGTAACTGGTCACATATGCACCGGACGTTATCAGCAGCAGGTGTCTTCCTATGACAACTCCACTTATCATCTTGGGCAATGGGTTTACACCCTGTCTCTAGAACCTACTGACGTTCGATGACGCATTCCGACCGGAAGCTGGTGCAACGAGACCCGTAATGATCACGGGGCGAAATTGTGTGCTAGCTTGAAGAGAGGCCGCGAAACTTAATGTTCACGTCGTGCACCTGAGATGCGAACGACTGCTACTCTTGACAACCATCGATTGGTATTTCGTGCCATACGAAAACTGAGCAAGAGAACTGGAGTAAGCAAACCTATGCAATAAGTACGGATAGTCTCAACCTGTCGAATAACTTAGGTTGTTTCGCAGCTGAGCAAATGCTGTCTCCGTCTCATCCAGTGTCGGCGTGTCCGCCAGATTTGCCTTCACATCGTGCTGCTTGAGGACGTTCAGTCTAGGCCAGTCGACCTCTGAAAGGTTGTTGAAGAGACAGTCAAAATGTTTTTACCAGATCTGCATTATGTCTGCAGTCTGTGTGCAGGTAGCGCCTGTACTACCATCGATCAGCGTCCTCAACGGCTCCAACCTCGGTCCATACACTGCGTTCAAAGAGTCAAAGAATTCCTTGTGTTCGTGACGTAGCATTCCATCTGTTTCGCCTTCTCCGTCCACCATAAATTTTTTGAAATGCAACGGAGCTCTTGAGTCAGTCGCCGTCGAAGTTTGCGAAACGGAATTCTCTTCCCCAAGTCACTGGAGTCTGCCACATGTGCAGCAAATGCCGCACTCTTCTCCGACACCAGTGCGTCAGTCTTCGCATTGTTTTCATCAAATCACTCAGACTGCCTACAGTTTGCGCGCCCGATGGTCTCCTCGACAGCAGCTGTCACCTGGTCACAAATGTGGTACCACAGGTTGCCCGCTGTGGCTATACATCCCACATCACACAGGCGTGCAGCCACCATCTATTCCAGATCAATACGTTTCTCCACATTACCGAGGGAGAGAATGTTAAATTTACGCCGATTCACTGCGGGAGTGCAATAAATAGATTTACGAAGATATGTGTACAGTTTGGTCCGCACCAGTTTGTGATCAGTGCCACACTCAGCTCAATGCAGTACACGTGTCATTCGCATTTCACGCATATCACGCTGACATACGATGACATAGTCGAGCAGGTGAGCGTGACCACTCCGTGGGCGTGTCCAAGTTGCTATATCATTCGCACTCAGTGCAAACGGAGTGTTCGTGGTCGTCAGGCCGTGAGTGACACACTGTGAGAGCAACCTGTCACCGTTCGCATTCGGTGAACTAATACCATGCGGACCGATAACCTCTGTCCACACCGATGCATCACGCCCAACGCACACGTTGAAATCACCCAGCAGAAATAGTCGGTCGCTCCTCAGCACAGACCGTATCACTGAAGATAGCTGAGTGTAGGATTGATCACGTGTGTCATTCTGATAACCCATGGTTGGCAAACTTACCTCTTCCGAGTCGTAGGCGAACAGTCATCATTCGCGTACTAATGCCTGTTGGTTCACCCACGAGCTAGCATTGGAAGCGTTCGGATATTGCAATTCCGATCCCACGTTCACCTAGTGCTGAGGCGGCGTTACCCACCCAGTAGAATATATAGCCAGCACCTGCTTCACGCAATTTACTTTACTCAGCGAGCCGAGTCTCACTGAGCGCCGCAATATCGTTGTGGTAGCGCGCCAATTCCATCGCGCCGAGTACAGTGCTTCGCTCGCGGCGCTCACTCGAGTTCCGGTCCAGTAATGTGCGTACGTTCCAGCATCCGATTGCATATATATATATATATATATATAT